GGACATAATAAAAGTGCCCTAAAAGGTGGCCATTACTTCACATTTTATGAAATCATTACACCTGACTGGGTATATTTATATCCTTATTTTTTAAGTATATCTGTTCAACCGGTTTGGAAAGTGACAGGATAAGGAAAATGGAATTGATTTTCTCAACTTTATTGTGTTAAATGTTCTGTAACTACATGAAGGGATAAGAATGTGCGTTGACTCCCAAGATTATTGACTATGGAACATTATCCATGAGTCACACCACAGGATTTGTGCTTCTCAGAACATAAATTAAGTTTTTACTAGTAGTTACATACAAACTGAGAGTAGCTATTAAAGTTAAAATGTCAGTGGGGGTTAACATGCTAACTGTGTTTAAACAGAGGTGTTCAATTAAAAAATCTTAGTGTGCTACGATATACACATTAAGGTTAGAAATAGTTCTTACAAATTGTGGGCTACAGAGAGAATTACCTTGCATTTGTCTGACCCGCGTTTGATTCCAGTACCATATATGACCCCCTGACCACCACCAGGAGTAATCCCTTGAGCGCAGAGACAAGACGAATCCCTGAACACCAATGAGTGAGGTCCAAAATCCAGAAAGAGGAAAGGTCTGAAACAAGCAGTGCTGGTAGGGATGTGGGATGAAAGGAACCTCCATCCACTAATGGTGGAGCTGTCATCCAGTTCACCCCCGATGAGAAAGTGTTGATAGAGACTTCTCAAAAAAAATTAGAATTGAGCAAGTTTATTATTAATAGTAAACTTCTTCGGTTGCAATGTTCATTTCATTTCATTTCTTACATAAATTTATAAATTCACATATTTCGCTTTTAAATAAGTGTCTTTGGTAACATTTCATACAGTTCTAACTCTTCCAGGTAAATTCCAATAAGTTTTTATTTTGTTTTATTCATGGATATCTTAATTTATGAGGATTATGTTTATCATGATAACAATGTAATATAATTTTATTAGTTTCTGGATTCCCATGAATAAAATATAAAAGATGAATTTAATTTTCAAGACATTAATGAGGACCTCTGGTGCGTCTTCTACTTCTTATGTCTTCCTAAAAGATAACTAATTATTTTCACTCATTATTATGAAAGCTGTAAAAGTTGGGTCAGAAACATTTGCATATGTTTTCTTTTCTTTTTAATCACTTGAGAGATGACTAAATATTCCTCAGAGAAGATTCAAAGAAAAAAGGAGGAAAAACTGGGTCTGCTATAAACTAATGTTGTGCAATGTATAAAACTGCCTTTTGAACTTGACCATTTAAAATGTTGGTCGTTGATCTTCAGAAGTTAGTGGTGTAAGAGCACATATTTGCTTTCTGTATGCAGCATTCTGTACTTTGTTACCAAAAATTGAAGTCAGGAAAATTGAGGGTTTTTTTTCATGCATTGAAATATTTATTGAGGGGGCTGAAGCAGCAGTACAGCAGGCCAACCCCAGTTCAGTGCTTGAGGCAGCTTTTTACTGATTTTTATAAGACTAGCAGTAGCCAAGAAATCTATAAAATAAACTGCTCCCATTGTGTTGGAGTTCAACATCTCAAATGTTGAAATAATAAATATCTTACCAGTTTCCAAACTCTTCAGGGTTCTGTTGTTCACCTGCCACATTTCTCATTGTCCCTGTGCTTACACATATTCAAGAAAGAGCAACTAAGTGAGAGGAAACCTAAATGGAAATTTTTTTCATTTGTTTATTTTAAATATCATTTAAAATGAAATTTTAACTCACTTTTTAATCGCATCTACTATGTTTTATTCTGTTTTGCAAGTAAGTCTTATTTTTCTTGCATAGCAACTCTGAAGTAAACTCTTGCTTTCTTATTCCGATTTACAGACGAGAAAAAGGAGGTCAGAGAAAGGATACCTAACGCCCAACTATTACATTGATTGAAACCTATAATGAAGAACCAGTGGAATATTTTTATCATTGGATGATATATTCTAAAATTTACTCAGACTGTGTTAATTTAATGCCAACTCTGTGCCGGTGTCTAACCAAGAGAAAGAGCCAGAGAAAGAAACATGATGAATATTTTTGCAGTGCCAAGTCTCTCCATTAACAAGCATTGCCCAAATATGCATGTATGGTAAACAGTTACTTTAGAAATATGACAACATATTCCAAGTACCTGTTCTCTGCCAGGTACTCTATAGCAAGCACTGTGCCAGAATCTGGCATTTTTGACGAACCTGTCACACTGTTAAGCATCTGATCAGTTTTATCAAAATGACCAGAGACATCCCTGTGCTTTTGCCTCCACTTTCATACGACATGCAGTGATCAACCAAAATGGCAAATACAGAGGAAAGAGAGGAGTGAAGTATGCTAACATACCAGAACTACAGTTTCTTGGCTTAGACTTTAGTCCTCTACTGGAAATGGTGACAGCTGGCCTTTTGCTCATTTTCTTCTTTGGAATATATATATATGACTGCACTTGACAGGTGCTTTCCTAGAAAATCATTGCCTTTTTGATTCATAAATGCCATTTTTGATGTTTTTATCTCACAAATTCAACTTGACAGTGCAGTTCTAACAATCTAGTGTAATTTTGGGAGCAAATTGCCATCCTTTTATTTTAAACTTTTATGAAAGGTGTGATTGGCTTTAAGCAGCTTTATAACTGAGTTATCTGTGCAGAAAACCAGTGAGAAACTTAAGTTTTTAGATGGGCTCATGTTCTCTCTTATTAGGTTATTTGGAAGTTGTAATCATAGAAAAAGGATAGTCCTCCTTTGGAACAGACAGACATTAGGTAGAGAATCTTAATGGGGAGAGAGGTTCTTTTCTGAAAATTTGCTTACCTGCCATTCACTTATAAGCTGGACTTCTCCATAAAAATCATGTTCCTGATTAAGATAAAAGTTTCATGTGAATAAACATTTCTCTAAAAATATCATAAATAAGATAATGCAATCAGCCTGTCAGTGGTATGTTATCTGTTAGAATTCCACAATTTAATTACAAACATATTTTCTGATTTTTGCAAGCTATCTTTCAAAACAGAACTAGCTATTACCCAACAGCCTATAGTTTTGAAATGAGAGTCCAATTTCTCAACAGCTCTTCCAAAAATTCTTTCTGAATCGGATAAATATTTGCAAGTATTAACAAACAGGACTGAAGGATTTTAGGAAAAACTAAGACCATTGTCTTAGGGGCTGGAGAAATACAGGGGTTAATGGATGTACCTGGGATACATGATGCCCAAAGTAACTTTGGGAATGCCTCTAGAGAGTCCAGAATTCTGCCAGGGTACCCTGAGTAAGCCCCAGTCCAGCTGAACAACACAGCATCCTCGGGTCCTCATACTGAACCACCAGTGTGATGGACTACGAATCACCTCTGGAACACCACTGGAGAGATGTTCACCCAAAAAAAATACATTGCCTAGACTGAGTTTAGGCTTACATAGGACACTGTGATGAATTGAAAATTAATTCTTCCTTTTGGAGATTTGAGTTTTCAAAGAAAATATGGCTCATTTAAAATAATAAGAGCTAAGAATCAAGAGATTGATGTTCTGGTCCTCAGTATTAAGCAATCAGTCAATATGTCAAAAAGTAAAAAAATTAAGTTTTTTTATTTAGTTTGTTTCTTTTGAAATTGGTGGAACAAAGGCTGTCCTGTCTCCATCCTACACTTGTAAAAATTCCACTTTCCAGATGCAAGCCTTTGTAGAAGTGTTAAATGCAGTACAAAAATATATGTGGAGTGAAATGTGAGGGGTGAATGAGTTTTTTAAATGATGCTATTCTCTGTACTTCAGTGCATAATTTCTTGGATAGTACTATTATGATCAGCTATATACTTACTCATTGACGTTACATATGTGTTTACTAATTAGGGTATATGTGCTCAGTCATGTGAACTGAAGATACTGCTATAACAAAAAACATGTCTTCATTATGCATTTCTGTCCCTACATCTTGGGTGCTTACAGACACAGTGGGAGCTCAATAACCATTGAATGATGGGGAACAAAATTCCTAAATGCACTGTGCTTTTATAGCAGCCAACACATATATTCTTCTTAACATTTTTATTTAAATTTTTCTTGTGTTGAGTTTTCAAAATTTAAATATGCTGGATAATCAAACTTGGGTATCATAGCTAAATATTTTTAAATGATGATTTCTTCATAATCACTTTTGATATGAAATAAAATAATTTACATGGGAGGATTGATAGCTTTTAGTACTGGGCTAGAAATGAGTTTTCTTTTGTTTTCCCTTAGAGTATAATTCAGAGTTGTGTGACAGTACTTAAATGGACGTCCAGCAAAAACAAACTCCCTTTGGAGACCTACGTGTCTTTGGCCTTTGGGGACACACCTGGAATTCTTAATCCTGGTTCTGTGCTCAGAGATTACCCCTTGTGGGGATTGGGGGTCCATCTAGGTAGCTGGGGATCAAACGCATGCAAGGCAACCACCCTATCTGCTGTATTATCAAACCAGTTCTTGTTTTTAATAAATATAAATCTAAAGAAAACATATAAAGTATAAGTGACCTGTGGTACCTTTGATTCTTGTCTCTATCATCATGTAAAACCTTTCTTGGTAAAAATTTCATGCCCAAATAAGCAGCCTAGCAACTACCGAGAAATAGGAAGTGTCTGTTCATCAAGAGTTTCTATCTGAAGATCTTGACCCACAACTCAGAGACAGACAAATGCATTGAAGAACCAATGCAAAAATTTACCCACAAATGACCTAATTGCTGTTCTAAAAGCAAAATCAATAAATTTACATACAGGATTTTAAGTTCGTTTGCTATGTGTAGGTCTAACTATACTCCCCTCTTGAGACTGTTGTGAGGGTTGAGTGTAATGTGTACTTCAAGTGCTTGTTTAACATCCCTAACATGTTAAAATTTTTAAAAGCTACTGAATTTTGTAGTTTGTCTTCTAAATAATGTTCTTTTTTTTGTTCTTGTTGTTCATGTGTTTTTTGTTTGTTGTGTATATGTTTCCTTTCACAGATGGATATACAACTGATGATATTGAGTTTTATTGGCGTGGGGATGATAATGCAGTAACAGGAGTAACAAAGATTGAACTTCCACAGTTCTCTATAGTAGATTACAAGCTGATCACCAAGAAGGTTGTTTTCTCCACAGGTTTGTATCAGGAAAATGGTTTATATTACATTTTGTCAAAGGATCTCACATATATTTAACAGGATTGGGTACCAGGAAAGGATGGGGATTTGAAGACTTAGATTTGCTGAAAAGCTGCACTTCCCCTCGAGTTCGCTGCTTTTGGGGACCCATCCAGATATTCTCCACAAGGAACTTCAGAAGAACTCTCCTTATGAATGTCTGACTCACAAGGAAAGGGATGAGAATGTTTACAGAAAGGAAATTGAAAGCCTAAATCAGAGTCATTCCCCTAACTTCCTGCAGGGAAGGATTGATATAACTCTTTATAACTCTATAGCAATATTACAAAGGATTGATATAACTCTTTGGCCAACCCAGGGGACAGCCCAGTCACAGTCTCCACACATATATGATTTCAGGAAAATTATCCGAAGATAGGAAGGATTCCTCAAAGGGAAGGGGTTCCTCTGCATAGCCTTAGTCCAGTAGTTAGAGCTAGAAGTCCATGAAGATGTTAAGAGTCTCCAATGTCTTTGCCTTCTTTACTTTTCCTGTGTTGAATTTTAGGTTGTCGAACTTTTGTTTCTTGAGCACGCAGTTTTAACATAAAAATGCAAGAAGGTAATCATTTCTTACATCCATATTAAGCAAGTAAACAATATGCCTGCAAGTATATTGTTTTCTTATTGAAATGGATTTTCCCACCACAGAATTAGCTACTACTGTTACTGTAGGTTTTGATTCATCCTCTGCTAATGATCCAGGCACTTTCTGTCCCTGCTATCAATGTCAAGTAAGAGTTATAAGATTCAGAACAAAAAAGAAAAATAGCTTCTAGCCTTAAAGAAAAAAATCAACAGAAATTTGTCCTACATTTGTGGTCCTCTGAATTCCTGAGGATATTACATAGTATTCTTATTTTCATATTATAGCACTTGTTTAACCCAAGAAAAATAGACAGAGATTTCTCTCAATTAAAGAGAATATCTCTTCTGAACACTACTAGTGTGTATATTTTCAGTTTAAGCCTTGTGCTGTCTCATATTCTGCTTAGAGTAATTTTTCAGATCATCACAATCAAAGGCCCCATCGTCGAGAAAATGATGGTTGTATAAAATAAGTCTGTGTGATCTAGTATAGAACACTGAGCAAGGGTGAACTGGACTTCTCTTATTATTGATGATTTCAAGATGTACTCACTGCCAAACAACTCATGTTAATTTTTTTTAAAAAAAAAGAAAGAAAGCAGATGTTTTCAGACTACTTTGTCATAAGAAAGTGCCCTTCAACAAATGATACGTGTGAATACAGAGAAGAGATTTTAAAAACTAATCAGGGACTTGGAAGGAAAGTGCCCTGTAAGTGTTCACTGATAATAATGATGATGATGGTCTCCTCTTGCTTTTCAGGTTCTTATCCGAGGTTGTCCCTCAGCTTTAAGCTTAAGAGAAACATCGGTTACTTTATCCTGCAGACCTACATGCCTTCCATCCTGATCACTATCCTTTCCTGGGTCTCTTTCTGGATTAATTATGATGCTTCCGCTGCAAGGGTGGCATTAGGTAGGCCATTTTCTAACTGTTCGAGGAGTCAGACTCTGAGTGAGCGTGCACGCACGCGTGCACGCACACACACACACACACACACACACACACACACACATATCTGCTGTCATGCATGCATGCACATTTGTGTGTCTGTATGTGTGTGAACATTCATTTCCCTGGAATTTGTGATGCATGGCTAGGCCAGAACATTACAGAATTTTGTCTTTGAGACTTGGATATTATGATTCAGCATTAAATCGATTAAACATGAATTAAAACCCTCATGTTAAAATTACCCAACTCTGTAGCTGTTGGTAATGAAATTAGTGCCATCAGTTTGATATTCGCATCAAAGCATATTCGAAGCATACTTCATGTCATGTCATGTTGGTTGATGCTCTGCTTGTATCTGCCTCCTTCGCTGGAAAGACCCTCCCCTTCCACATTTTTTTCTTTTCCTAAGTGAGAAACAAGAAAATGCTTGTAGTACATAGATAAGCAGGGAAAAAATGTGGATTCTAATTAATATATTAGAGTAATATGGCAGAGGACTAGAGAAAACAAAGTAAGATTATTGGGAAGTAATCCATGTTTTATTGTTTTATACTTGATTATTTTCTAGCACCGTAAGATGAGTTTGTTTTTCACATTCTTTTTTTCTTCCCTTTTGTTTGAGTAGGGAGTCCACACCCAACTCCGTGCTCAGTGGTTATTCCTGCCTCTCCATTCAGGAATCACTCATGAGGGGTTCGGGTACCATATAGAATACCAGGGATTGAACCCGAGTTGGCCACATGCAAGGCAAGCACCCTATCAGCTGTTCTAGCACTCCAGTCCAACTATTTTTCACATTTTTATTAATAACTTCAGATATAGTAAATTAGGATATTTTATACCAGTTTTATTGATTTTGTTTTTATTTCTGATTTTATTATTTTTATTTATTTTGTTGTTTAAATCTCAGCCCCGGGTCCCGCACACCTGGGTTTCTCTGCCGGTTTTTTCGTGCATGAGGCTCGTCTGACTGGGAACACCTGTAAAGGTGGTTAGACACTGCCTCAAAAGCCTCCATCCCTCTCAGAGAACCCGGAAAGCTACCGAGAATATCTCGCCCGCACGGCAGAGCCTGGCAAGCTACCCGTGGCATACTCGATATGCCAAAAATAGTAATAATGATGGTCCTCATTCCCCTGACCCTGAAAGAGCCTCCAATATGCCATTGGGATATACTAGCACGTGACAGGGAAGAATGGAGACATTACTGGCACCTGCTCAAGCAAATCAATGAACAACAGGATGATAGTGATAATGATGTTTAAATCACACCGGCCATGCTCGGAGGCTGCTCCTGGTGTTTTGCTTAGAGCTTGTTTCCACCAGTGCTCAGGGGACTGCATGGTGCTAGGACTCAAACATGCAGCTCCTACATGCAAAGCACTTGCAATAGCTCTTTGAGTTACTTTTCCCCAGCCTTGGTGCTTTGAAAAATGTTGATTTTACTTTTCCATTGTGCATCTCAATTCAATCATTACTTGCTTAGAGAAATCCTTCAATCCTTACTTGTTTAGAAAAGTCATTCATTTACTCAGTAAATATATATATATATATATATATATATATATATATAGTCTGGGGGCCACACCTGACAGTGCTAGGACTTACTCCTGGGTCTGTGTTCAGGGATCATTCCTGGCGGGCTCAGGGACTCAGGGACCATGTAGGGTACCAGGGATCAAACCTGGGTCAGTCATATGCAAGACAAACACCCTACCAGTGTACTGTCGCTCTGGCCCCAGCAGATATATTTTTAAAGTCCTTCTCTGTTCCAGTTATATTAGGCACTGATGATAAAACAGTATCCTTTTGCAAGCTAAAAGTAAAAGTAGACAATTTTTCAATGGTCACGCAAATTGCATAATATGGTAAGTGATAGAGGAAAATAAAAAGAAGTTTGGGTATGCTTGGGGTGCAATGTGGAATAATTAAAGTAGACGTAATTCAGAAATTGTGAGACATAAAGTTGAAGAAGATGAATCAAATATTTGGACGAGACTATCTTAGCCCTTGGCCCAGGCCAATTTCCAGTTTATTCCAGTATTACCTGCCATGTCAGTGAAGAATCCAGTGAGGAGAATGCAGAATTACTTCAGGAGGAAAGAGAATTTCAAGGAGAGGGAACTACACAACTGTAAATATATAAATATATATAAATCAATTTGGAGAGTGAATAATAAAGTCTCGGTGAAATTAGATTATTGCTGAGCACAGAAGTGACACAATTTCATTTCAGTTAAAAGGAATCACTTTGTGACCAGACAAAGAAAGAAAGGAGAGAGAGGAGATAGAGAGGAGAGAGAAGGGAGGGGGAGAGAGGAGGCTGTAAGGCACTTGCTTGCATGCAGCCTTGCTGCTAACCCTAGTTCAGTCCCGGGAACCTCATGGTCCTCTGAGCATGAGAGGTTACTCCCGAGCTCAGAACCAGGAATAGCTCCTGAGCACTGACAAATGTGGGCCAAAAACAAACAGAGAGAGAGAGAGAGAGAGAGAGAGAGAGAGAGAGAGAGAAGAGGGTGAGAATCACTTTGGAATTACCTTGGTTCTTGTACTGGGATTAGATTATAGTGATTCCAGGGGAAAGGGGAAAAAATAGTGATCTCCCAGAGTGAGCCTCTGAAAATACCAGAAAATACCAGAAAATGACCCTTTTTGTTACCAGTTACAGTTCATATAATTTATAAAACCATTTATATTTGGATTGTGATGTTGTTTTTCCTATGAGCATTAAGAGAATTCACACAGAGAATTAAGAGATACACACAGTGAATCATGTTCAGTAAATACTTGCGAAAGAATTTTTAAATATCTATTATTTCAAAGTAAAAATATTTCTCCACATGGAGTGATAGCACAGCGGTAGGGCGTTCGCCTTACAAGCGGCCAACATGGCCAACCCGAGTTCGATTCCTCCGCCCCTCTCGGAGAGCCCGGCAAGCTACCAAGAGTATTCGATATGCCAAACACAGTAACAACAAAGTCTCCAATGGAGATGTTACTGGGCCCGCTCGAGCAAATCGACGATCAACGGGAGGGCCTTTACCTTTTTACCTTTACAGGAACAAAAAGTTATTTATTTTCTTGCGCACCCAGTGGTTCTCAAGGTCTTACTCCTGGGTCTGTGCTCAGCAATCATCCCTGGTTCCATGCTCAGGGATCACTCCTGATGGTGCTTAGCAGGTCATATGTGGTACCAGAGATCAAACTGGGTTGGCCCAGTGCAAGGCAGATCTCTTGTCTGCTGCACTATCTCCAGCCCCTGTAAAAAAGTATTTTAAAATGCCTTTTTATGTGAACAATTCATTAACTAAAAAAAAACTAAAAACGAGATTTTAATGAATAGTAAAGTTGATGTTGTCAGTTTTATTCTGTTGGACAGGCTAACCTAGTTCAAATAATGAAGAAAACTAATGAAATCAGGAAATGTTTCCAAAGACTAATGTTACAAAAGAGAACTGTAGGGCACCCAGATGTGTGGAAAGATCAGGTTTTGCTGGCCATGCTCAGAATCGGGTGCTCAAATATAGGTTCGTTTGTAACTGTTTAATGAACATGGGTAAAAACAAAACAAAAATTACGATCTATTATATGAAATTTGCTCGAGCGGGCCCAGTAACGTCTCCATTGGAGACTTTGTTGTTACTGTGTCTGGCATATCAAATACTCTCGGTAGCTTGCCGGGCTCTCCGAGAGGGGCGGAGGAATCGAACTCGGGTCGGCCATGTTGGCCGCGTGTAAGGCGAACGCCCTACCCGCTGTGCTATTAAATCAGAAAGCAGTGTTTCTTGCCAGAATGTCATAGCAATGACACATGACTGCCAGGTATTACAGGGAGTTATTACTAGGTGGTATTAAAGGACACAGACCTCTCCAGTCAGCAAGGTCCTGGGGCCAGGCTGCCTCTAGCGAACCCTGGACTCTAGACAGCTGAGCTCTCTCTTCACTTTGCTCTTTTGCTCCAGAGTTGGACCTTCTTATCCACAGGACCCCATTCTCCCAGGACTTCCACCAACATCTCTCTCTAGCTCTGGTGAGGGCATTGAGGGAAGCTACCCCCACTATCAGAGACGCCCAGTGGCTGAACCAGTAGTTAACGGTCCAACCCAGTGTGGCGTTTCCCTGGAAGAAGTGTGTAATGCTGAGATATTATCTGCTGGAGCGATAGCACAGCGGGTAGGGCATTCGCCTTACAAGCGGCCAACATGGCCGACCCGAGTTCGATTCCTCCGCCCCTCTCGGAGAGCCCGGCAAGCTACCGAGAGTATTCGATATGCCAGACACAGTAACAACAAAGTCTCCAATGGAGACGTTACTGGGCCCGCTCGAGCAAATCGACGATCAACGGGAGGGCCTTTACCTTTACCTTTACTTTTACACGCTTTAGTGATCTGTACAGGTCCCTTCTCTTCTTTTTTTTCCTTTGCTTTTTGGGTCACACCCGGCGGTGCACAGGGGTTACTCCTGGCTCATGCACTCAGGAATTACTCCTGGCGGTGCTCGGGGAACCATATGGGATGCTGGGAATCGAACCCGGGTCGGCCGTGTGCGAGGCAAACGCCCTCCCCGCTGTGCTATCGCTCCAGCCCCAGGTCCCTTCTCTTCTAGCGCCCACCTCCAGTTTCAAAATTCTTACTAATATTTGTCCGTATCATGTATATAATGACTTCATTGATTTCATATAATGTATTCATTGATGAACATTATTTTTATAGATTTTCCCTTATCACATATTTTTCTGAAAATAAAATTTTGTTTTGGGGACAGACTTGGCGATACTTGGGGCTTACTCCTGGCAGGGCTCAGGGGACCTGGGGTGTGTGGGGGTGGGGTGGGGGATGGAACCCAGGTCAGCCACGTGCAAAGCAAATCCCCCACCCGCTACACTATTTCTCCAGCCCCATTTTTTCCTGAAAAACTCATAACTGGAATTCCTGTCTTGATGCTTCCCTTCCACCCTTGTTCCCGCCACCCCTTAGTGCTCCCAAAGTGAGTCTCCTACTGTGTTATCTCTAACACTCCCTGCTTGAAGATGGTGGTGCGACATAGCTGCCAACTTTGACTTTTGAGTCCCGTGGGACTCTGTGCAGATGACTCTCCATTCTGTGGCCTTTAGTTCCCCGTATGTGTCATTTTTCCTATTTTTCTCATCAAACCCTATAATTCACTCACAGCCTTCCTTGAAATTCCACCTGACGTGTACCTGTTTCTGATGTCAGGCTCTGTCCCATGCCAGTGCCTTCAGGGCTGTGTCACTTGGACTGCTAGCCCTGGGTAACCTACACAACTACTGCTCATTCTTCAGGTCTCAGCTTCAAGGGATCCACTTCCTGCTCTTTCTTGCCACATCCAAGGCTTCCATCCCTCTTGATACATAACTGTTAAAATAGAAATCTCAGTAATGTTTCAAAATGACTAATATCAACTGGAAATCACTGCTTCCTACATATCACCAGAGCCTCTCACATGACTATTATTACATTAAAAGTGCCCAGAAAGTATTTTGCAGTGTAAGTGAATGTGAAATTTACATGAACTCTCCCGGCTTCTGTGATTGCACATGTGAACACGCACTCATTATTACTCTCTCTTATCTCTTTCAGGAATCACAACTGTCCTTACAATGACCACCATCAACACCCACCTCCGAGAGACGCTCCCCAAGATTCCCTATGTGAAGGCCATTGACATGTACCTGATGGGGTGCTTTGTCTTTGTCTTCATGGCCCTTCTGGAATATGCTTTGGTCAACTACATCTTCTTTGGGAGGGGACCCCAACGCCAAAAAAAAGCAGCTGAGAAGGCTGCAAGTGCCAACAATGAGAAGATGCGCCTGGATGTCAACAAGGTAAATTTGGAGGGCGGGCCCTCCTTAAGGTCTGAAACTTACGAAAATGCCAGAAGTGCAGGGTAATACCTCCTTTGACAGATGAGGAAACCAAGACCCAGGGAAGGGAGTAGATAATTCCCTCACTCACAGTGATAGCTGGTGATGGGGTGCAATGGATTAGGAAACCCTTTCCATTAACATGAGATTGTGCAAACCACAGTCACCTGAAAACCACACTTAAGAGGTTTCCCACACACATGAGCATAATATGTGCTCATTATATTTCTTTAAATATACTTTAAATATACTTAAGAAAAGAGTTGGTGCCACTTAAATAAGTTATCATTTATTAATAATCTCAAATGTAAATAAATAAATTATATTAGAAACCATAGTTTATACTAGATGAAGCCTCTGGGGTTGAGGTTTCTAGTTTGATTTAAAATGAGAATAAGCAGGCTGATGAGGTAGTTCACCATGGTGAGCCCCTGTTGTGCATGTGCATCAGAAGGCTCAGGTTGAGCCCCCAATACTCCATGGTCCCCTAGAGACATCCAGGGACAATTTCATGCATAGAACTGGTAGTAGTCCCTGAGCAAAAGCATAGATAAATAAATTAACTAGTCCATTGTTGATAAGCGCAGAGATGTATTATAGACCCACCAGCAACAAACTGAGGCTTTCTCCTTAAAATAACCTGGATAGAAGAAAAAGTAGAGGAGGAAAGTAACTTTTCTTTAAGTGACAAATATTACTTAATGCTTTCGCATGTACCACTTAAAATTATGGAAGCATTTGACTGTATGAGACCTCCATCATTAAGTCAGGTACAGAGAATAATTCCTACACATTTATGGCGCTGTTTAAGACAGGAAACTTAGATGTCCAGTTGTTTGGGAGAGCATTAAAGATAAACAGATGGCTGGTTACTTCCCCCAGAAATCCTGATTACAATGTCTCAGGATATACCTGGGCCTCATAATTCAGTGAAGTGGTCCAAATGAGATTCTAATTTGGACTTAAGCTTTATAATCTCCACTTGAGACTTTTGAAAACAGTCTCTAAGGAAGCCATCTTCTTTACTTCCAAAATGCGACTTTGCTTGGCTTCCTTTTATAGAATTGTCTGCGTTAAGAAGAATGTGTATGTATTACCTCCTCCCCCCAACCCCCCGCCCAATCTCTATTCTGATCTTTAAAAATAGACCAGAAACTCCCAGAAGGTATTTTGGGAAATGGTGCAAGTGTCAGGGATCCCAGGTAGGGTCTCCTCGTGCCAGGCACGTGGCCCAGTGCTTTGAGCACTCTGCCCGGTCTCAAACAAGTCTTTTCCAAATGTCTGCCCTTAATAGTGTTTATGAAGTGTGCAGAATGTTGAATTCAATAAATAGTTCACAGTGATGGAAGAAGGAAAACAGTGATGCTTTAAAACCATCTGGCACTATTAATTATAGCAATATTTATTTAAAAGATACTTTAGTATTTTCAACTATAATTCCAAGAATTGCATAGCATAAGTAATCCCTACAATTGAATTTCATTTGAAGCAAGCCCAATAAAAGCATGTGGCTGACTATTGTTTCCTACATATCTATAGGTCTGATAGTCTATTTTGGACTATTCTCCAAGACCATCTTTTCCTAAGATACGATATTTGTAATGAAGCAAATTTTAACTGTGGTCTTTGGAAACCAGTGAAAACAGGTCCAGGGAATTATCTGTTTCTTTCCAGCGCTCCAGATTGCATTTATTGGAGCCTGCCAATAAATTTTAGCCTCCCATCATGGCTCTTCAGGCTGTCCACACAAGAGAATATTTTGAAAACCCATTTTATGATTTTCCTGATATAGTAGCCTTAGTAGAGAAAAGGAAATGAATAAATAAAACTATAGGATTCATTCTGAAATGGCTCCAAATCATCGCCTAATGCAAAGCTGACTTAATAAGATAATATCCAATCTCTTCTGTCATCTACCCAATTTTTTCCTACCAATTTGCATTTAAATGATAAATTTATGGCCCCAGAAAGTCGTGTGTTTATAACAGTGAATCAGAAAAGCTTCAGAGAGTTTTTAAATTCAATGAGATGCAGGCAGAGAACAGTTCCCCGGGCAGGTACCCCTCACTGGTGACAGTTAGAGCAACAGGATATCACAGAATATGAGAGTGCAGTAAGAACCCTAGAGTTCCTCATGCGTCCAAGTCCTCACCTTAGGTCTCCATTGCCCTCCCTTCTCCCGCTACCAGAGGATCCCTGGCAACATTCGTCAAGATTTGATATTGCCAGATTGTAGGAATTTAGACATGTTACAAAACCTTCACAATGTATTAGAAACTTTCCCACAGTAAAAAAATTCTCCAGGCAAAAATGCCAGTATTACAGAAGTTAAAAAAAATCCACTTTATTTCAGTCCATTTCAAATGTGAGTAACTAATATCCAGAAGGAATAAAAGAAAAGATGCTTGTCCTTTTATTGAAACTCTGGAACACAAATAATTTGTCCACTTTCATAATCGCATGCATAACATTATGACATTAGGATTTAGCACAGTGGCCTAGGGAAATATTTTGGAGTAAGCCATTATCAATATTTAGCATTTACTTAATCATTGTAAGACAATCAGCTTCTCTGAATCTTCAGTTTCCTCATCTGTAAAATGGGATTTATTATTCTTTCACAATATTATTATTATAAAGAGTATTTGTGACAATGTGTAGACATAATCTCCAGTGTGTGGCATGCACTCTGTAAATGGTAAATATTAATAAAATTATTAATATTTAGGCATTATTTTCAAAGTTATTCTCTAGATCTTTTGGCAGTGCTTGCTTCTATGTTTTACACACTCTAGCACATAGGATGAAATCTCACCCTAGAAAGAGAGCATTATTCACCGAGGGCCGTTTCCTGTTAGAAGTCACATTGTTAAAGCAAGACAGTCATTTTTCCAGCATCCGTTAACTGTAAAATCTCTGGTCAACCAGCTTCTTCAAAGTTTGCAAGTTACTTCTTAGACTGAAAAACTTAGAGTCATTTCTATTCGATTAAATAAAAAAGGGTCCTCTAACATTACAGACTCCATGGTTTCTTTTGTGAACCCAGGATGGGATGTTAGAGATCTGATTGCAAAGAACCTCTATTGTGTCAGCATCATGAATAATGCCACTCTATTTCTTATCAAGAATCCCCCTGCTTTTCAACTAGAATTCTAAAGGTGTTTTTTTTTTTCAAAGAGAGGCACATACAATCAACCTAGTATTGTTGGCTTCTCTTGGAAAATCAGTCACTAGGAGAGGAATTCACTTTTTTAAACCACCTTGTGGTGGCTTCCTAGAGACAGAAGTAGGCATGTCCGATCACCCGCAGCGGTCCTTGTACCCTGCTTTGTCCCGAAAGAGACATGAGAAAGAAAGGTGGGAGCCCGGGGCTTTCATTTCTCTGTCTTAATTGTCCGGAAATCCTCATTTTAATAAGTTTCCAATTTCCATCCTGATAGCTGGTGCTAAAACCATGGTTTTCAAAAAGAGAAAAGTATCCATGGTTGCATGACATAGTCAACAAAACCTCAGAGATGGTCTAAGTTTTTTTTTAATCCTTAACCAGTGTATGTCCTCCTACACTGGCCAGTGGAAAAGCCCTATAAAAACAAAAAGCTGGTTTTGCATCAGTCCATTTATTAAATTCAGGATCTTTTTACCTGAGCAAATCTGCCGGCCTACACATCAGTCTCTGGCTAATGGACCCTGTAGCTCACACAGTGCTCTTCGTGCATCACCTTGAATTGTAAAATGCTGGAGGTGTTTAAATAACTTCACACTGACAAGAGTTCTGCTGAGAGCTTTTCCCAAAATTCATTCTGGGTAGTTAAAAAATTCATGACATCTCTCAGTGTGAAGAGAGGCTTTTGCGTTACCCTGCACTCTTCTACTTGAATGTTTATTTTCCTTATAGCATTTTCCTTCTAGCATTAGCACCTAATTATAATTTCCTTGTAGCATTAGGTCACACTTGAAATAGATCATGCCTTCAAATTCTAAGTTCTCTCTTACCTTTTCAGCCTTATCAATTTTTTCTGGTTTACTTTTTGCCGTAACTTAGTATATATACAACATATATGAGAATTTAGTTACTCCTGAGTTTTGCCACCTTTATTCTTGCATAGCCAAGATGCTTTCAGTATCCTTATTTTATAAAGAAACAAACAGCCATGAGTTTTCCAATAAAACCACACCAAAAATACCTGTTTGGGGTGTTGTGTATTTGCGTTCCTTGGTATGCAAGCCTCTCTGTCAAGCTCTGTGTTGTCTTTGTCCATTGTGCCTATTTTTCTGTTATGCAGAGTGACTAAGATCTCTTAAACATGTTTATTTCTAGTTTTTAGAATTCAATAATTTGAATGATAGACTAAGAAAGAAGATATGACTACTAAGAAGTGCAGTGCTGTGTTAGCGCCAGTCTTTCTATAGTCCAGTAGCATTAATCTATATCCAATTAACTTTAACCAGCAATCCGAATCTACTGGCATCACTCGACTTAATTAGCACATTCTCTACTTTGTCTTCCAGATTTTTTATAAAGATATTAAACAAAATGGGACCCAATATCGATCCTTGTGGGACCCTACTGGAAACCTCTCCCCAACTAGACGGACTACCAATTACGATTTCTCTCTGTATACGGTTAGATAGCCAGTTTTTAATCCATTTATGTGTATTTTTGTTGGAGCCATTTTGTTTAGCTGTTCCCTTAAAAGTAACGTATTGGGGTCTTTGCAGATAACCAGTGGACTTGTATCTTCAGAGAATTGGGATTAAGTTAATGTTTTCATAAGAACTAAATGGGTTTTTCTGGGTATGTTTTTTTAATAGGCTATGACAAATCTAAGCTTCAGTGTCCCGTTGAGTCATTACTGTTGCACAAGTGGGTCATATTTTGAGGTTTCTCTTTATTTGTTTTGACAGGATAGAATGTCATTATTTGCTGTGTCTTAGTTTTCTTGTTGTGTTTCTTTTGGTTAGTGGAATAAGTGGAGACTTCCACAGTGCCCCCGTCAGTTGACTTATAACTGAGGAACCCATATTATTTGTCCTAGTTTACTAATTTGTGTCTAGTTATGTTTGCACCAAGGCTTTACTGCTTTATTGTGGCATATTTCACCAGTAGCTATTGTCATGGTGACCCATTCCTATTCTAATAATAGGTCAGAAAAAAATAGTTGTTCCGTATCAAAACTTTTCATTTAAATTAAATTCAAAGAGAACTCTACTTTTTATATATCTTGGTATAATGTTTAGAGTTTTATTTCTAAATCTGCGTGCATGTGCAGTTTTTAATTTGAAAATTGTTATTAATGTCACCCTCCAAATTGGAGGAAGAGGGAAGAAGGGGGAAGGAGAAGAGAAGAGGAATTGGATGGAGAACCCATCTTAAACACTTGACCAATTCTAGATAGTTTATTTTGCATTTATTGTCGAGGTATGAATGATATGTAATGTTGATGAATCTTTTCTAAGAGGACTTGATGCCACATGAGCTTCTAAGTATAAATACTTCTTTAATTTTAAAGACTGGACCCCTTATTCCTTTGTACTTCGTTGATAATGCCACTGGGTTGGGTATCTAGTATTATTAACTTAATAACTGCTACTTTGTCTTGATATTTAAGTTTCTTTTTTAACTCTTTGTGGTACTACATATAGTAATATAGTCCATAACTGATATAAGGTAGATTATAGAAGAGATGTTTGGAACTTGGTTTATCACTGTCTGGCTCCTATGTGGCCAGACATCTCACCTCCTGCTGTGTCTGTTCTCTCAGACTGTCTCATTGGTGTTGTTGCTGTTGTTTCTGACTGTGGCTACTCTGGTTGAAATCCAAGTATAATGGTTTGATTGAGCTGTCTTTGGGTAGAATTCTCATCACTGAGAAGGAAAGATGTTTGATTATTGAAGTTTGCATTTACGACATATACAGAAAAGAATGTTGCATTATTTCAAAATCACAGAGTATTCTACCTGATTGATATAATGACTGTGTAAGTTTACCTGAAAGTTCAGGAAGATTCTCAGATTGCAAGGATACTTCAAAGTGAATTCACGCATTTCTTTGGTGCATTATATTTTGTGCTTGGCTTTTAAAAAGCTGTTGATATTCTCTGATGCCATGATCTGTATCATGTGCAAGCTCTCTATTTCATAAAACATCTGGTCAATCAGAGTGACCAGAGGTTTACATGGAAGTTGAAAGCATAATGTCTTTTGCTCTTATAGGTTTCTTAGGTATGTTTCTGTTCTGTCCTCTGAGTTCTCAGTTAAATTCATATTTAGAATAAGAAATGAGAACTAGTGTTCAGCAGTACCAACAGTGAGCTGAGTCCTAAACCTGTAGTCTATGAAAAACCTAAAGCATATGCAACAGCTCTCAAAGGCAGTCGGGGCGCCAAACGTGGTGACCCAAGTTCCCAGTCATACTTGGTCCTGTATGAGTGACACCAAGCATGTTTAGCCTGTCCATCCTTCAGATGCCTCAGCTAAAACCGGAAACACTGATTTCTGTCTCATGGAATGACTGAAGGATTAAATGAGATTATGAGGTTAAGGGCCATATGCTCTGCCAAGCAGCGAATGTTCAGGGAATAAATGGTGTCAAGGAGCACGTGTCTCAGATGGTTTTCCTCCTTTTCAAAAAAACTCTCTATTTTTTTTGATCATCTATTCTAATTCATGATTAGTTCTTTAAAAACTAAAAAAGGTGGTGAGATCGATAGTAACCTAATAATTGAAAACATTACTCTTTTTTCACATAGTGACATGCTTTTATATAAGTAATTGCACTCTGTTGCAATTATACTCTAATAAATTTGAATACTATTATTTTCACTTTCCGTATTTAAGTATATGTTTCATCCTTTCTAATACCAACACATCTTTGATTGAATGTATGACTGTAATTTATAAAATGAGCACATGTAGTTAGATATTTCCATTGTCTACACTCTGTCCAAGAGTCATAGGGAAAATAGGAAATAAATTACAAAAAACAACGCACAAAACAGAGGCCACAGATGGGCAGTGGCCATATAACAACACAGGGTCTGTATTGTACAGGCAGAACCAGAGGAATCTACTGGAGCTTTGTTTGAGAAAATGAGAAAACCCAGTAGCGATGCCTGCATTTGAATAAGCACCTAAACGAAGAATAGCAGATCCGTGGGGAAATGATCGAATATAGGAGATGGAGATGGAGACAGGTGAATGTAGAGATAGAAAGGGAGAGAGGAGTGGAAGAGAGACTTGACCCATGTGTGTAAAGCAGAAAAGAACTTATTTTGGAGAAAACAGAAAAAATTAGGGATACAAAGAAATTTTAAACATTTTTTCTCACCAAAAATGGAGAATATGAAACAATATATCTTGGATGAGACAGCATTAAGAAAATACTGATATAACAAGAAAGAGAGCAATTTAGAAAAAAATCAAGGCATTAATACAAAGTTTAAAGAAATTAAAAAAACAAAAGATAAGGTAAAAGGAAGATAACAGAAAGAGAAGCAGCTTGGCAAAAAAATCAAGGCAGTAACAATTCCAGCTTAAGAAATCATGCCAAATGTAGAGGTAAGGCAGTGTGCAGATAACAACCAGTTAGAGAAGAGAAACAGAATGTTATACAGGGCAGAAACCAGACCTTAAAATCATGGTGATGGTTAAGCATCGAACAGAAACGGTATTTAAATCTGATACCAAAACTGCTTAAATGATGCTTAACCAAACTAAAGTCTTTTAGAGTACAGTCACTCTGCTTTCTTGGACGCTTACAGATAGAATGTTCCCATGCGTATCCTCAAGTTACAGTAGTTATAAGTGGACAGATGATGAATGAGTAAAACATAACAAAAGGGAAATGAAGACATGTGGAAGGTGTCGTTTCAGCTGGGTACCATAAGTAGGGATAAGGAAACCTTAAGACCAAACTTAGAGCAGAAATTATGGTAACAGAGCTGGGGATGCAGCAGTGGTGGGAGGGAGCACATGCCTAGAGCGGGCCAGGCCCTATGTTCAATGTCAAGGTCACATGCCCTCTCCCTTTACAACTGCCAGGTATGGCACCTGAGCTCTGCCAGATGTGGCCATTGGATAAAAGATTTAAAGAGGAAATAAAATGTTAGAGAATTAAGATGATCTAAGTAGAGCTTATATAAACTCACCTGTCAAAAGAATAAAGTTCTTAGGAGCCAGAGAGATAGTATGGGGTGGGGGGCATTTGCCTGGGACATGGTCAACATAGGTTCAGTTCTTGGCACTGCCCATGGTCCCTCAGCTGCCCACCAGGAGTGATCTCTGAGTGCAGAGCCAAGAGTAAGCCCTAAGCACTGTCGGGTGTGGCCCCAAAACAAACAAAACAATTTTAATAAAATTCTGATATTGAATCAGTGAACTGAACTAAAATGATATTAATAAGAGATACTTTTCAATTTAAGGCATTGAAATCTGATTCATAATTCTGAATCATAACAAACACAAATGAGGCAAATAAAAAATTTGAAGAAAATTGATGATTGACTATTGTTACAATGTAAGATTGAATTTAAGGTAAAAAATACTCTAAAATATTTTATAATAATTTCAGTACAAAATACATATGTTGTCATTAATAATGTAGATCAAATAGAAATAACATCCAAATAAAGTGGCATGAAAATTTTAATGACAGAAATAAATGCCTGCATAATATGATTCTTATTATTCAGATAAACTCGCTTATATACAATTTATGTCAAAGGTGTAATTAAAGTTAAATAGAAGAATGAACCCTTAGAAAACAACAGCGATGTGAAATACATAATTAATCCTAAGGGGTCTGATTAAAATAGTAACAACAAAAATAAGTCATAGCTTAAACTACATTTCTAATTTTTAAGTTTATAAATATCCAATTAAAATATTACAAAAGGATTAACAAAACATAGAAGCAGAAGGAAATAATTAACCAAGATCAATTAAAAGTTATATTAGAATACCGAAACCAAAAAGTGTACAAATAAGTCAAAGTTCTTTTAAAAACTTAGCTGAACAAGGAAGCAAAGTTTACTAAAGAAGCCAAGAAGAATCAATATTTCTACACCAAAACAAAAAATAAAATTTAATCCTAACTACTCAGTAAAGGTGAAATTAAAAGACAATTATGTAAACATATTTTTAAAATACAAATTAAAGTATGGAATCCCTAGAAGATATAAAGGCTAACTGACCCTAAGAGAAAGCAAGAACAAATCAGATCATTTACTTCAGAGGGCAGAAAAATCTGACCTGCTCCAAAGGAGCCTCTAGGCCAGAAGGTTTCAAACTAATCCTGTCAAGTGTTAAAAAACAAATTCTTCCAGTGGTATTTCTTCTCACAAGTCCCTCCAGAAAGAAGACAAAACTTTCAAATGATTTTTAAAGTAGGATGACATAAATAAGGTGTCAGAACCATGTCTCAAAAAATAAACAAAAACAAAACCATGGTTCTTTTCACAAGGCTCACTGGAGAAGGCAGGGAATTATGTTATGGGAAAGGGCTGGGTCACACCCAGCTGCGCTCAGAGCGTCCTCCTGGCTCTGTATCCAGAGGTTACTCCTGGCGGTACTTGGGATACAAGGTGCAATGGAGAGCATGCGGGGCTGGCTACATGCAGAGCAA